ACACACACACAGACACACACACTGACACACACACACTGACACACACACACAGACACACACACAGAAACACACACACTGACACACACACAGACACACACACACTGACACAGACACACACACAGACACACACACTGACACACACACACTGACACACACACACAGACACACTGATTCCTGTAACTCGTCCTTCGTCTCAGTCTCCTCATCTGTGTCTCGCTGGCTTCTCCACTCAGCAGCAGTCACATGTCAATAATCACATGTGGATGTTGTATGTAAACATTCAGCCTTACATGTATGTCAGTTGCAGCAGATCTGCCGTGTTCCTTTCTGATCCTCTGGTGCAGGTCTTATAACATGTCCACCCTCAAAATAACGAGCTTAAAGCAGTGTGATTTGATTCCTGTTTGATTTCCTTCCAGTTTGACTCGATTCCAGTATGATCTGACCTCTGAGATGCTGAAACAGTTTTTTTTTAAGAATTAGTTTTCAAAATCAGAACACTTTGTTAAATTATGTCTTTTCAATTCCGTTCTTTTGATTGGTCACTCGATTCCTGATTGTTCAGGTCTATTGATTGGGTTAGGGTTAGGTTCCAGTTTGATTTGATCCCAGTGTGACTGTTTGGGTCTGTCGATTGCTGTGAGAGCTGCACGTGGACGATGGGGCCTGTAGATGGTGGCGTCCACAGAGCGGGGGGAGCTGCTGCACTGAGGGGTTAAATGAGCGGTGTGTGGACCTTCTGATGAGCGTGAGATTTCCAGGAAGTCAGAGAGGAGGACGGTGTTTTGTACGTGGAGCGTAGCTGGACATCAAAGACGCGGTCGTGCCGGCGTGCTGGTGGTGACACTGAGGAAAATGAGGATGAATAATGGAGCAGATTGCAGCAGTAATCACCATTAAACTGTATCTGGACCCACTTTATTCTCCAACATCAAACACATGGCCCCACTGGGACACACTAACACACACACAGCGCACACACATGATTTATTCTGCACACACACTTAAACACAGACAGAAAAGCTTCTGTGTTTGTAGAACGTCAAAGATAAGAGAGAAATTTAGATGAAAGAGCATTTTATTCTTTTTTTCCCGAGTCGCCTCGAGCTGAATGGCTTCAGGCAACGCAGACACAGGCACACACTTTTTACTTCACACACACAAACACACACTTCTTCTAAAGCGTGTGTGTGTGCCCAGTTTGAGTCGCACTCATGTGTTGGGTCGATCGAGCTGTGATCTCCCTCACAGATATTAGAGAGAGAGCGAAAACGAGACGGCTGCTCGGCCTCTAATGAGGTTTTTAATGTTGACAGGGTGCGTTTGATTTCCACTCTGTGACCAAACGGGGGTCAGACTCATTACAGCGGGCGTGAAAACAGGAAGCTGGATGTTGAAGCAGTAATGCAGAGTGATGAGACCGCGGCTCTCAGACGTCCCCAGCACCGCCGCTTCCTGTCGTCAGGCTTCAAGCTGCCCAGTGACAGATGCTGATTAATCTGCCTGCAGCTGTTGATGTGCACGGGTGCATCATTGAGAGCGAGGATGCTGAAGAAAAGCTTCTGCACTAATCGGGAGCCGCTCCATTTCCAAACACCACAAAACAAGCCAAACGCACGATGACCTTTGAACCCCTGAAAGCTTGCATTTTGTGCCGGCAGTGACTCAGACAGCAGAGAGAGAGCTGATTGAATCAGTGAGGTGAATTTCTGTCACAAGCAGAGAAACCTGAGGTGTCTTAGCGCTGAAATCCCAAGGACGACTCCCAAGGTTAGCATTCTGCCTCGCAGTTTTAAAGAAAGTCAGATATAATGCTTTCATCCTTTGGTCATACTCCAACGCTGTGCTGCTTTCATGACATTCAGCCTTGTAGTTTTTCTCTAACACCGGAGGCTGAGCGCTGAAAAGCAGCTTCCTGCTTTCAACACAAACCAGAGTCGGGCCGGACACATCGTACAAATACAGCCATAGACTCCACGCTTTGAAGCGTTCCTCTATGTTTGTTTTAGAAGAAGTTGGCATATTTGGACAAGAGGTTGGAGCGCTAATTTGTACAAAAGAACAGGAACCTCACAGCAGCTTTGTTGATGTCATGATGTCATTAAAAGGCTCCAACAGCACAAACACAGTGCAGAGGTCCAATTCAGGGGAAGCTAGCAGACAGCTAGCAGCTACCTGTGTCACCATCCACCTGTCAGTCACAGAGGCCACGCCCCTAATAATGCAATGCCTCGGTTTCCACGCATGCAACAAACAAACAACTAAAATCCTGTTGAATGCATGTAGACGTGGACTGACAGCTTGATGTGAAAGTCATCTCGATGTGTTGACTGGTGTCAGCGTGAGCTCAGACTAACAGCCTGTTGTTAGACATGTGGAGGACCCAGAACAGAGCCCAGAGGAACCCCATGAGCTGCTGATTGGTGACTGCATGTGGAAACACTCCTGCTGTTTCTCACTGAGCGTGATTTGATATAAACGTGTTTATTCTTCTGTTTCTCAGTCCAGGCTAACCACCATGTAGCTGTCTGTACAGAGGAGTAAATACCACATGAGCTATGTACACACTCCTCTGAACCAATCAAACGTGATCCTCCCCTCGCACACTGGTGCCAGCCAATCACCGCTCTCCACTGCTCTCCTTCACACAGTGATTGTCTGTTCTCTCTGAGACATTAATCTGTGGTTTCCTTTTTCTGTTTCTTTCCCTCCATCTCATCACTCCCTCCGCTCCGCCCCCCCACCACTCAGACGAAGAAATTATCACTCCTACACTTATTACCTGTAAGTAACCTGTTTGACCTCTGACCCCTCACCTTCACACTGACATCAAAGCTGAAACACTGAATGTGTCCTGCCTGTAACCCTGATTACCCTGAACCTCTGACCTCTGACCCTGATTGTTTGATATTTAATCCCTG